ATTAACGCAGAAAAATACGTTGACAGAATCAGCTTTAGATTGATAATTTGCTATGAAGTAATTCCCCCGCTGTGTCTTCAAACACTGCGACCTTCTTTAACGAACAATCGCCGTTTGCTTGAGTTATTTTCGAATGCTCGTGGGTGTCTACCAAAATCTGATAGATCTTGATTTGATTGTAGGCTGTTGAGGTAGAAGGTAGAACGAAGTGTTTGCGTCTACCAAAATCTTATTAGTTCTCGGGCGATTTTCGCTGGCGAACGTGTTGCACGGTGATGGCGGTTCAAATCGCCATTACCGATGCGAGTAACAATGCTGTTTATGGACACTGATGAGCACCTGTGTATCCATTAGCTCATATACGGGGCGGCGGGTGGAACGAGTGAATGTCATTAGTGGAAAATGGCGATTCATGGGCGGTCGCGCCGCATATCCGTCACGTTAGCTGACTGCACGGCTGTCGTTGTCGGTATTGGTAAAACGATTTGAGGCGGGTTAAATAGCGATGATCAGTCAGAAATGAGAGCACTCCGGTACGCATTCTGTGCTCTGATTAGAGAAAGTAACGCGGGTGCAAGACGAAGCGTCTTCTATGTATTTATTTATGCATTCGTATGGTCGCGCAACACATGGGCTCATTTCGTGGAGCTCCATCTCCGTTGCGAACAACACGAGCGATGCGCGTTGGATAGAGAGCTTACATGTCCCCCTCTCACCTGTGTATCGCATACCTGTATTACCAATATATATGTGGCTTTGTATCAATAAGCGTGCTCCTTAGCTTCGCGCGCGCGCGCGTGTGTGTGTGTTTGTTTGTTTGTTTGTGCATTGCATTCATTCTTCCGCGCCTTGCTTAACCCCAAAACCCAGGGGAGCCCTTTAAGTTTTCTCTCTCTGCTCGTCCCCCGCCGCCGCTCTCTCTCTCTCTCGTCTCGTCTCTCTCCTCTCTGCGTCATCTCTCTCTCTCGTCCTCGTCGCTCTCTGGCAACCTTTCACTCAACCACCTATTTTCCCACTGACCCCATCCAACCAGAAAATACGCACACAAGGAGGAGAACCGACACAGCGCAGCCGCAGCAAGGCAACGCTCGCACGCACGCACCGCACGGCAGCGCACGCACGGGCACCGGCAACGAGCAGCGCACAGCACACACACACACACACAGCACGCACAAGCACACATTTAACCACTTAGCATTTAATACACACGCGTCTACCCACCCTCATACTCATTCACTCACTTACCCATATCCACACACCAAACCAGTACACATTATACATCAAGTGTGTGCATGTTACTTCCTCCCTCCCTTGGTTTTCCATCTCCCCTCTCATATGCCAGTGAGAAATTTTATGTGTGCCATACTCCATTAAAGATGGGTTTATTGGTATTGCACTACAAATCACAATTGCACCATAAAATCAACTTAGACACTGCTGATTCTCAGGGGAAAGTTAACTGCTTTTGGGGGAATTTGAGTCTAAATGCAACCGGTGAAAGTAATTTATGTTTTAATTAAAGATTTTATGTCGACAGAATCTGCAGCTCTAAATTACCTTTTTCCCTTGTGGTGTGGAATCTCTGCTTTTCACACCGGCGGGGCGCAGTGCAGCGGCAGGCGTTAGACAAAGTATAAAATCAATGTAACCGCCACGATAAATTGCCACGATAGCATGATTTCACGTAAGAGATGAGGTATAACGCAACGATGCTGCTGAACAGACGACCACCCAGCAAAGATGCTTACAATCTACTACTCGAGTTTGCATCTAGAGATATAACAGCACCAGCCAGCCACTGCTTCACCCTTTCACGCTACACTTACTTTGATAGTTTATCTAGTTTCTCCCAATTCCACTGCTAGATGGGCTCTCGAGTTCTCCGTGCCTTAGTGTTACTCCACACGCTGGGCAGCATGGGGTCGCATCTAAGCCAAGCTCCCGACCCGGGCGTTTCCGATTAGCTAGAAATAAAAAAAAGTTCAGTCAGCAATTGGGTCAATCAATAGGTAGGTAATCTGGTATTGTCACACGTAAGAGGGTATAACAATTATAACACAATGCATAACCCTATAAGTCCAATTTACTTTTTTATATCAGAATTATACTTTGCAGAGCAATTTTTGAGATGTTAATTAATAGTTAGGAACGTAGATCAAGATAACACACGCACGCACGCACGCACGCACGCACACACACATATAGTATATATCAAGAGTCGGCATAATAGCAACCATTTCTATTATGACGCTCTGATAGTATATAATATATAATATATATATACATATATAGTCAGGAGCGTATATGACAAATTTGTCATTATACGCTCCTAGATATATATATACATGCATGCTGTGTTAGTCTTTGGAAAGCGTATAATACATAATATATACATTTATTTATTTATTTATTTAGCTATTTATTTATCTTCCAACAGAACGTCAACAAGGCCACGAGCAACCATGTGAAGATACTCCTAGGCGATCCTAGCCACGCAGGC